TTTTCTCATATTTTTTCAATTTTGTCATATTTTCATTTTGAATTAAACATTTGGTAATATTTCTACAGCTAACAAAACTAAGTAGTTAGGATATCAGGATATCATATACAGATCGCATTTATGGCCCGATCCTAACGAAATTTTGCATGGGGATAAGATCAGGGTCAGAATAGAAGCCTACTCTTTTTGGAGATGATCGCCATATATTTAGGGGTTGAAATGGACCAAAAAAACTGCAAAGTTGTCAGCAGGGCGTATTATTGCCCGATCCTCACGCACATTTCAATGGGGGTTACGGGCATTGCAAAAAGCCAAGCAGTTTTGGATGGCCATCCAAAAATATTCAATGTGTGAAATAGTTTGTCAGCTTTTGTAGACAAAATGTCCATTCCAGAGACTTTTTGGAGAATTCACAAATACAGGAAAGACACACTTCCGACTATTTCGTTAACGCTGATTTCGTTAAAGAATATAGTCAAATATCTGTATCTCATATAGATGCGTTTCAGTCAAAAACCAATAATAAATGTTAATCTTTTGGCACTTCTGAGAGATTATAGGTCTTTGGGAAATATTGGATCCAGATCTAGGAAGACCATTTACGTACAACATCTACCAATAAATTGGAAATGAGCAAATTAGTTTAAGTTGCTATTATTCGAAAATTAGAGAACAATATCTTGTGGAATTCTTTCGAGTATCTCGCCTATATAAACTGTATCGTTTATTATAGTGTTGTAGGGTATTCAACGGTCCCGCTCGACTGAAGCCTTTGCTTACTTGTTTTTTCCTTTCGTTTGAATTTTTATCGAAAGAAAATACATTTTGGGTTTTTGTAGCGCATGTTTTTTGTTTTGTGAGTGACAAAAACAACGAAGCTTTTTTCCACTTCACTTTTTTTGGTTTTTTTGTAACGAAAAAAATACAAACGAAAATGTCGGAAAAAACGAGAGGAGACCCATCGTTTTGAACAGAAATTGGCTTTTTGTTACAGAATCTCGCCAAAATTGTATGTGTATGACGGGTAAATTATATATTAACTATTTTTACATATCAAATTTTTGTTAGCGGATCATACAGGACCATATTCTTCAAATATTATCTCGACATTTTTCAATTTCATTTTACAATTTCTTGATGAATTTTGATTTTTTTTTTTTTTGGGTTGCCACAATCGGCACAACTCCTAATGCAATTATATAAAAAATTAACAATATAATGGTTAGGGAAACTCTGACACATCAAAACTTTTCGGAAATGGACAAAAAATGTTAAAATTTTTATAAAATTCCATATAAAAACGAATACGTTTGAATACGAACGATTCGAGTGAAAGTAAACCACAAGTGGCTATGGTGAGAGCACTCCAGAATTGAAATGTGAATAAATCTTTTGTGCCTCCAACCATCTCTCGTTACCGTGATACTGGTAGCAACATTAGCAGAAAAGGTTCGAAAAGTAAAGAAGCGACTTGGTCGAAACCCGCGTCGCAGCGGCCTATAGGCCTACCATCTATAGATACCAATTCACAACATTCCGCCTCTAGAGGGCCTCTTTAATCACTTGCCTTCATAAGTCCTTTTAAAAACCTTTAATTTATAAAAGAGCTCTTAAGGAAGTTTTCTTAATGGACCTGAGTATATAGGAAATATCTCCTTCTAAATATCTATATGACCTACCAAAGTCTCCTTATAATAGAAGATCTAGTAAAAGCCGGGTATATCTACATGTAGCAGACAACATGAATCTAGAAGACCCTTTAAATTATTAAATCTTTAGAAGACCTGTTAAAGGTTTTACGGATCCATATCTAGGAGAACTTTCAATATGCCTCTACTTCCAAAAAAAATTCTTAATTTTGTAATATCTCTAGAAATTAAAGGTCTTCTATCTATACAAAGCCTCTTAAATATACTAGAAGGAAGAACTATACTATGAGCCTTTTCATAGTATAGTTTAGAAGACTTTATTAAAGTTTCCTAACTTTTAAAGATTTTTTAAGGATGATCATTTGTATTTCTTTCTATTTCGAAAAAATCTTTAGCCGCTTACATGCTCTAGGAGGCTCCTAGTCTAGCTTAGAAGACTTTTAATCGATTTTCAATTTTAAAAGAGTTCTGAAAGGTCTTCTAACTTTAGGAGGCTTTCTTAAAGTCCTTTATCTGTAGAAGGTCTCCTCCATTCCTAGAATGCCGCGAAAAGGTAGTTTAGAGGTCATGTATACCCGGCGACCTATTTTCTTAGCAGAAAGTCATTTAAACGTCGTCTAGTTTAGGAAATCTTATAGAAAGACACCTTTAAATGTCATTTGCTAAGAGACCTCTTAAAAGTCTCTAGTATCTAGAAGATCTATCAATGTGAGCTGAGCATATCGCAATATTCCATTCGGCAAATATTGAAAAATGAGCTCGGCGTAAAGCCATTGAAATTCCAAAAAGTGCAAGAACTTACACCGCAACAGAAAGAAAATAGACTCAAGAGAGCTAAAGAGTTGCTTCGCTTGGTCGAAAGTGGTGAACGGCTGAATTTCGTTTTCTCCGATGAGATAACATTCGTTGTCCAGCAGTTTGTAAAAAAACAAGATGAAAGTGTTTACTTGCCAAAGAGGTCAGCCGAAAATGTGCACCTTCGGTTGGCCACCAGAACTCAAGCGGTGGCCATGGTGATGGTGTGGGCACATTAACAGTCGATGGTTACTCTCCGCTCGTATTAATCGACCGTGGCATCAGAATTAATGCCGAATATTTTCGCGAAAATATTCTGCAGGCTGTATTAAAGCGTTGGGCACGCAAACATTTTGGCCGCAGACCTTGGACATTCCAACAAGACTCAGTACCAACGCACTCTGCACGCGCCACCCAAGAAAGGTTACAAAATGAGATTTCTCGCTTTATTTCCAAAATCTCCGGATACTAATCCGATGGACTATTGTGTCTACAGTTTTTGGGAAAGCAAGGTTGGCGCTAATCACTCCAAGCAAGCGCTTTGCCGGGAACGGGCCAAAATACCGCAGAACAACATCCGTGTAGCGTGTGATGGTTTCATTCGCCGTTTGAATGCCATAATTCGTGCCAAAGGTGACCAATTCAAACAAGTCTAAACTTATTCTAAAATTTGATGCTATTTCCGTCACTGTCATAAATCTTTTAGATAGAGGTGATGACAAAAATGGAATTTTTTTCTAGGGATCGAATTCTAAACCAATATGTTACATTAAAACAATACAGCTGTTTAATCATTAAAAATTGCCGATATTGCCACGCTAATTGAGGCATATGATTTTCAACATAACCAAATAAAACCCGAAATAATTTTTTGAATAAACCCCACTGTTTAAATTGTGTATGAAGTTTTGACCTTTTGTTCTGTTACAAATTTCAAAAATATTCCGTTTTTAAAAAATGTGGTCAGTAGTGGCAGCCCATCCAGCTAAAATACTAATTACAAATCGTATTTCTTACCCATTATTTTATTATTTAAGGGTATGTCGCTCAAAATAAGTAATCTTTTTTTAAAATTCGAGAATTCCACCTCTAGCGGTCCACGCAAATCGAAATTATATCAAATTTAGCACAATTAAAACTTTTTATGCACATAAGTAATTTCGAGAATTATGCCCATATCCCAAGCCGCCAGTAATGTAATTTTTAAATTACATTTCTCTTACTTCAAATTTTACCAAATTTAGTACCGTTTAGTACTTTTCGTATACAAGAGTACACGCTTCGAAAACTACCTACTTTCATCGTCCTTACTCCTCAGCCGTGATTCCCATTCCAAATTTCAAGCTCCTAGCTCTAACCATTCACATGATACGAAATGGTACCAATTGCAGTATATTTTGGTACTTTTCGTACTTATTTCGAGCGACAAGCTCTGGCTAAGATAATGGGTTAGTAATGCCATTTTTAATGAGTTTTTTTTGCTAAGTTTTTCATACCCCCTCCCCCCCACCCCCCTACTTTTTTAAATAAAACTGTCTTTGTTACTGAAATCATTTTTTGTCAATGACTGACGAATTCTTTCTTGAAATATATTTTTAGACACGAAAGACTGACGATGTTTTGCGGGGAAGTCATCGATCGCAATTGGAACTAAACTGGCGAACTCTCTTCATCACTTATACAGTTAACGTTGTTTTTTTTTAGGTATTTATTGAGGATTAACTTCGAGCATGTCACAATCATGAAACGGAGATACCGATAAATTATATCATCTATCATTCTATACATAGTTCCTCATTCCGTGGTAAAAATTAAGTGGGTAGCATAAATATGAATGAACACAAATGTGGAGCTTTGCGCATTTTTTTTTTGCAGAAGTTTCAAATGAAATATTTCAAATTAACACCAATGTTTTTTGGTGAAAAAAAAAAATAAACAACAACGAACACAATGAAACATGATATTAATCCCCTACTACACCACACCTAGAAATTTGAAGGTGCTGGGTCAGCAGCAGTGCTGGGTGAAGAAGACAAAAAAAAACGCTATAATGCCAACAACAATAGATAACAAATCAGATACAACACTGATATGGCGGGGCCGGTAATCGTCAATGGAATTGTGTCCATTCAGAAATAAAAGTAAAAATATTTCCTGATTACGATGCAGATAAGATTTCACAACAACAACACCATCAACCAAGCAAGTGACTTGGAGTTGGCGAACATGGAATGGCGCAATCACTGGAAACTATGATTATAATCGATCGATCGATGGATGGATGGATAGTTCACATCGATAACTACTCTTTAAATGAGTAACTTGTTTTGGAAGCAAAAAATAAATATTTAAAGATATGCAATGCAGTGCTCCCTAGATTTTCTAAAGATTTTTTTCAAAAAGGTTTGAAAGAAAGCTCAAGTACCAAAAACAAAGAATTTTTTTTTTGGTGAGAATCATAAATTTATACCAAAATTGCCACCAAATATTTCCGAATAGTAGTAAGAAAAATATCTTAAAGATAGTTGATGTTATAAATTGTACAAATATACATACCGGGTGCAATTGGTTGATATTCCTGTTGTGGCAGTAGATAACACGTCAAGACCTACAGGGGAGAGAGTGACGAAATAAGGCGGTTAATGATGATGACACATATTAGTTGATGACTTAAAACAATTGAAATGAAATATATTTATTCTAGTTGTAAAAAAAATAGGCAGTGTGATTAGTTAAATAAATAGAAAATTATTTTTGCTGCTGGTAACAAATTGAAATGTAAACAAAAAAAAAAAAAAACAGTTATTTTCTTTTTTTTTTGCATGATAGTAATAAAAGCCGCAAAATAGAAAAAAAAATTAAGTTAATACTCTTCAGCTATCAAGGATCGATTTTGTTCTACTGAAAAAACCCACAGCTTTTTTTTTTTTTTGAAGAAAAATCTTTGTCTACTGAGACAATTTTTTTTTTTCTGTGGAAAAATATCCTCGTCTGCTGAGGAGCCAATTTTTTTCAAGGGACAAAAAACCTCTGATATTGAGGAGCCAATTTTTTTCTATAGAAAAATAATCCGCAGATGTCAAATTTATTTCTATAGAAAAAACATCCTCAGTCACTGAGAATCAGCTACTGCTCAAAACTAAGAAACCAATATTTTTCTACTGAAAGAAAAATCCTGATTAGCTGAGGACCCCAATTTTTGTTTCCTCATTTACTAAGAAAATATTTTTTTTTAAAAAAAAAATCTTCAGCTACTGAGAAACCCATATTTTTTCCTATAGAAAAAAATCTTCAGCTACAGAGGACCCAATTTTTTTCTATAAAAAAAAATCTTCTGTCACTGAGAAACGATTTTTTTCCTATGAAAAGTCCGTAGTCACCGATTTTTTTATACCCTCCACCATAGTATGGAGGTATGTCATTCCTTTTGGAACACCTCGAAATATACATTTTAGACCCCACGAAGTATATATATTCTTGATCAGCATAAAATTCGGTGTTCGTCCGTCTATCCGTATGTGGAAATTAGTCTAGCTTCCGAACGAAATGAAGTTGGTCGCTAAAATTTTACCTCCATATTTTCGGTATTTTGGTGATTTAAACGACATTATTCACCGGAATGGTTTCAAATTTGGTATTTGAGGTTCGTAATGTATTATAAAGCCTACTACAGAAAATTGTCCGTGCAGGTCCAGGTTTTGGTATAGCCCACATATAGTGGTACCTTCCGATATTCGGTATTTTGATGATTTTTGCTACATTATTCACCGTTTTTTTTTTTTTTAAGTTTCGCATTTGAATATTGTAATGGCTTATGACAAAAGTTGCCTATGCAGGTCCACGTCGTCGTATAGACACAAATATAACGCCTACATTCGGTATTTTTAAGATTTTAACAGAATTTTCAACGGATTTTTTGTTTTGAAAATTGCCAAATTTGTGCCAATTGGTGGAGGGTATTCAAAGTTCGTCCCGGTTGTGATGCCAATTTTTTTTATAGAATAAAAAAAAATAATTATTTATATTTCATTCATTTCATCTTTGAACAAAAAAACTTTTTCATTTAACTCTCTTTTAACTTTCTATCATTCCAATTTAAATCAGACCACCTCAAAAGCTTCACTTCCTTTTTCAACACACAATTGAATGCCCGTTGCAAAAGTAAGAACAGCATTGAAATGCAACAACAACAAAAATGCCAGCAACAATCGACTTACCTGTTCACCAGTCTCCTCATCTGTATCCGGCTGAAATGTCAACAATGGCTGGGCTTGATTTTCCGACAGCCAAACGGCTTTCAATTGTAAATTCACCAGAGAGTATGGCAGATATTGCAATTGATTTCCCGAGACATCCAACACGTGCAGAACGCTGCAATTACCCAACTCTGGTGGCAATTTTTTCAATTTGTTATCGCGCAGACTGAGCACTCCCAGGCTGCTGCAATTGCCAATTTCAATGGGCAGATATTCGAGGGCATTGCGATCCACATTTAAATTGCTTAATTTGGTCATTTGGCCAATGGAGGCTGGCAATTCGGATAGGAAGTTTTCGGTGAGTATGAGTTCTTGCATGTTTTCACAGCTGTGGGAGAAGAAAGTAAAACAGATGAATGTAGAATCATGGTATCAATCCGAAAAGTATTTCGAAATAAAATTTAAAAGATTTGTCAACTTACTCTCCAATATTTGTATTGAGTCTTTGTAAACGATTTTGGTCCAATTTCAATATTGTTAAGCGATGCAACGATGCAATGCCATCCGGCAAAAATTCCAGGAGATTTTGTGCCAAATCCAAATCGGTTAAGTTCACCAAACCACTGATTTCATTCGGAACTTCTTCCAGGCGATTTTCTGATACGTCCAAATAGGTCAGATTGCTCAAGAGTCCCAATTCCGGTGGCAATTTTGTTAATTGATTATGATCTAGCCAAAGTTCTTGGAGGGCGGGCAAATAACCCAAATATGGTGGCAGTTGTTCGATTTCATTATCGCCCAAATCGAGGCGTTTCAGTTTTGTTAGTTTACTAATGGACTCGGGTAAATGTTTCAAGAGGTTCTCACGCAATTCCAGCGATTCCAGTTGGGTAAGGCTGCGAAAAAAAAAGAAATTGAGAAAATGAATTATTAAAGCAATAAAGAGAATATGTATTGACAAAATAAATTTCAAAATTGTCAAAAAAATATATATATTTTTCTCTTTGAAACAAATGTTTTCATATTTTTATACCCTACAACACTATGTGTTGGGGGTATTATAAGTTTGATTGGGCCAAAAATTTTGTAACACCTCGAAATATTGGTTTCCCACATAGGAAAGTATATATGGATCTTCCTAGTTCGCCGAGCTAAGTCGATCTAGCTATGTATGTCCGTCCGTCCGTCTGTCCGTCTGTCCATGTTAATTTGAAATCACTCTACAGGTCGCAATTATGGCCCGATCTTCACGAAATTTAGAATGTAGGTGGGGCTTGGACCAGAATAGAACCCTATTGCTTTTGGAGATGATCGCCAAATGTTTAGGGACCAAATACTGAAATACTGAAATGGACCAAATACTGAAAAAATGTCGGATTTTGCAGTAGCTATACAGGTCGCAATTATAGACCAATCGACGCGAAATTTCGCATGTAGATAGAGTTTAGGGCGGGGAAGAAGCCTACTAATTTGGGTGGTCATCGGATAATATCTAGCGGGTAAAATAGACCATATCTTTTGTGTTGAAAAAATCAACATTTTTCATTAAACCGTGAATATTTTAAATCCCGGCGAAATCACAAAGCCATCACAAGGTTACTTCTGATCTTTACATTGATGTTAACATCCAACAAAACGGATATATGGCAAAATATGTGCGATATATATGTCTATCAAAGAAGATATGCTTGAAAGATCTCTTATATGTCGAGAACGGCTGAACTGATTTCGACAGTTCTCATTAATTCAGAATGGTCTCTTGGCAGGAAAGAAAAAACGTCAAAAAAATCGCATAAAAATATCTCTCTAAAGATGAAAATATTGATTTTGTAAAATTTTCTCATATTTTTTCAATTTTGTCATATTTTTTTGGCATATTTTCATTTTGAATTAAACATTTGGTAATATTTCTACAGCTAACAAAACTAAGTAGTTAGGATATCAGATCGCATTTATGGCCCGATCCTTACGAAATTTAGCATGGAGATAAGATGAGGGTCAGAATAGAAGCCTACTCTGTTTTGAGATGATCGCCATATATTTAGGGGTTGAAATGGACCAAAAAACTGCAAAATTGTCGGCAGGTCGTAATTATCGCCCGATCCTCACGCACATTTGAATGGGGGTTACCGGACAGTGCAAAAGCCAAGCAGTTTTGGAGGGCCATCCAAAAATATTCAATGTGTGAAGGAGTTTGCCAGCTTTTGTCGACAAAATACGAAAATGTCAATTCCAGAGACTCTTTGGAGAATTCACAAATACAGGAAAGACGCACTTCAGACTATTTCGTTAACGCTGATTTCGTTGAAGAATATAGTCAAATGTCTGTATCTCATATAGATGCGTTTCAGTCAAAAACCAATAATAAATGTTAATCTTTTGCCACTTCTGAGAGATTATTGGTCTTTGGGAAATATTGGTTTCGGATCTAGGAAGACCATTTAAGTGCAACATCTACCAATAAATTGGAAATGAGCAAATTAGTTTAGGTTGATATTATTCGAAAATTAGAGAATGAAGCCTAATGGTTTTCTTTTATTATTTGTCACAATATCTTGTGGAATTCTTTCGAGTATCTCGCTTATATAAACTGTATCGTTTATTATAGTGTTGTAGGGTATTCAACGGTCGGCCCCGCTCGACTGTAGCCTTTGCTTACTTGTTTTTATATGAGTTTGATGAGAAGTTTTAAGAACTTATTAGAGCTATAATTGTGATTTTTATGGAAATAAATTGAGGGACTAGCAGATCCATAATCATATACATGTGAATAATATTTTTCGATTGAGGGAGGGAGAGACGGAGGGACAATATTCGTCATTTTCAATATTTTTCAAGAGTCCTACAGTACTTTAGTAATGGTTTTTTAAATGTGATTTCCAAAAAACCTATCAGAGATAAAATCGTGAATTACACTGTGAAATACAAAAAATAATCCAGGAAAATCGAGCAGATTACGAATGTAGAGCTAACAACTAAAAAAGCTGTAAGTTCGGCCACGCCGAAATACCGAATGTAGTCATATTAGGGTCTATACGACGACGTGGACTTGCATAGGTAACTTTTGGCATAAGCCATTACAATATTCAAAAATCGTGAATAATGTCGCTAAAATCATCCAAATATCGAATATCGGGAGGTACCGTTATATGGGGACCTACACACACAATTTTCTGTTATAGGCTGTAATATCCATTACGAACTTCAAATACGAAATTTGAAACAATTCCGGTTAATAATGTCGTTTAAATCACCAAAATAGCGAAAATAGGGAGGTACCGTTATATGGGGGCTATACGAAGACGTGAACCTGAACAAACAATTCTCTGTTATAGGATGTAGTATCCATTATGAACCTCAAAGACCAAATTCGAAACAAGTCCGGTGAATAATGTCGTTTAAATCACCAAATTACCGAAAATAGGGAGGTACCATTATATGGGAGCTATACCAAAACGTGGATCTACATGGCCCATTTCCAATACCAAAAGTCCTGCAGACATAATATACATATCAGTTTAATTTTATCAACCTACTTCATTTCGTTCGGAAGCTAGAGTGATTTCCACAGACGGATAGACGGACGGACATCTAATTTTATGCTGATCAAGAATATATATACTTTGTGGGGTCTAAAATGTATATTTCCAGGTGTTACAAACGGAATGAGAAACTTAATATACCCTCCATACTATGGTGGAGGGTATAAAAACTTGCACCTTGTACCTAAAACGAAATTTTATATTGCATTCAGCCCCAACTCTATAAAAGACCCGAGGAAAAATTAATCAAAAATTTAGAAACAATTTCGATTTTTTTTTTGGGCAACATTGATGTAAATATTTTCTTGGTATATAATGCTTGTAGAGATTTCTTTCGTTTGATAGCTTGTAGTGAAATTTAATGAAGAATGATTTTGCCTTTGAGTTCGTCTCTCTAAACTGATGTTTTGCAGGAGTATTTTGCATTAACTCACAAAAAGTATGGCTTTAACCCTATACACATCCAACATGTGTCTTTAGCTAAGTTTTAGATTTTTTACGTCTTGCAGGACCTATAGTAGAGTTTTATGCCAAATAATTTTGTAGAGTATATTGACATGCCACGATCCCGTTTAAAGATATTTTTCACCATTTTTTTTAAGAAAAAAAGGACAAAAACACTCGTTGGAAATTTAAAAGTTTTGACTATTCCTCGTATCTGCCGACTATTGTGTCTGGAGTATTTTGGAAAGCAAGGTTGGCACTAAAAAATACCAAAGTATCGATCACTTTTAGCATGCGCTTCGGCAGGAATGGGCCAAAATACCACAAAGCAAAATTCGGTTTACATTACCCGTTTGAAGGCCAAAATTCGTGACAAAGGTGACCAATTCGAACAAATCTTATCTTATTCTATAATTCGATGCTCTTTCCGATATTTTTTGCTTTCAATCAATAAAATTTAAAAAAGACACTTATACGTAAAATGCATGGATTCCGAGGAAACTTAATCCAAAAATATCCAAAAGTGTTGAAGAAGGGTTAACTTGCCCTCCCTATTTAGGTTACTTTGCAATGTAAACTTTCAAAACGCCGATACACATGTCTTCTATTTTTAACCATACTTTCACAATCCGCTGGATTTTCCCTGTAGTTTTTGAAAATTTTGAATATTGTCGCAAAGTGTAATCTTGCCTAAAATCGTTGAGTTTTTAAAAATATTTTTGGAATGCATATCTGAGTTGTAATCCTGATTTTTTAACCATATTTGGTTTTTAGCATATTTTCTAAAGATTCAATTACATTTTGCGCTATTAATTTAATATTCAGCATTTGTACTAGCTGGCGCCCAACCTTGTCTTAAAAATAACTATTAATTAATCTGTAAATTGTACTTACCAACCAAAATCTGCCGGCAGCGTCGTGAGTGACATATCATTTAAACCTAAAACTGTTAAGTTTTTTAATTGTGAAAAGCCAGCGGGTAGTTTTGGAATAGGATTTGAACTGAAATCAGCCACTTGTAAACTTTTCAAGTGTTTGATGTCATCGGGAATGTCTGGAATATCTGTAAATAAATTTAAAATGAGAAAGACAATAAAACTATGTTTTAGCAAAAATGTTAACATATAACATTATATAAGTAGAAATACGGAGAGCTTTCCAATTGTTGTACATGAAAATCTTCTGGAGAATTACTAATCTGTGAAAAATAAGGGTAGGAGTCGAAATATTCTAATTTGAGATTGAATTTTACTGAAGAGTGCAAGAAATTACTTGAGTGAGAAAAATTATTTGTTTGCTGATTTATGTGTTTGAAAAAACAGGTTTGACGTTGCTGTGGGGAAGATTGCGTACAAAAGCCAGGAAAAGAAAAACAGCAAGGTACCAAAGCAACCCCATTAGCATATGCTTTGTTGGTACAGATTGGCGATAATGCACAAAATGCACATTCTTTAAAATAGATCAATTGTGAGCCAAAATATTAAACCGTACCCGACAAGAATAGAATCGGCTTAATTTCAATTGAAGTTTACTCCCACTCAAAAATGAGCAAAACACACTCGCTCTCATTCGGGTGACGTCAAAAAAAATAGTATTTTTGTCTTCTTTTTATGGAGTTTGTCATTCCGTTTGTAACACCTCGAAATATACATTTTAGACCCCACAAAGTATATATATTCTTGATCAGCTTAAAATTCTATGTCAATTAAGCGATGTCTGTCCGTCTGTGGAAATCACTCTAGCTTCCGAACGAAATGAAGTAGTTTGATAAAATCTTACTCAAATGTGTATTTGGTTTAGAAAATGGGTCATGTAGGTTCACGTCTTGGTAAAGTCACCATATAATGGTACCTCCCTTTATTCGGTATTTTGGTGATTAAAGCGATATTATTCACCGAAAATGTTTCAAATTTGGTGTTTGAAGTTCGTAATACTACAGCCTAAGACAGACAATTTTCTGTGCAGGTCCACGTCTTCCTACAGCCCCCATACAACGGTACCTCCTAATATTCGGTATTTTGATGATTTTGGTATTTTGATATTTTGATAAAAATGATGAATTTGGTATTTGAAGTTCGTAATAGATACTCCAGCCTATGACACAAAATTGTCTGTACAGGTCCACGTCTTTATATAGCCCCCATATAACGCTACCTCCTGATATTCGGTATTTTCATTATTTTAGCGACATTATTCACCGGAATTGTTTCAAATTTGGTGTTTGAAGTTCGTAATGAATACTACAGCCTGATACAGAAAATTGTCTGAGCAGGTCCACGCGTTCGTATAGCCCCCACATAACGGTACCTCCTGATATCCGATATTTTGATGATTTTAGCGATATTATTCACCGGAATTGTTTCAAATTTGGTATTTGAAGTTCGTAATGGATACTCCAGCTTATGACAGAAAATTGTCCGCGCAGGTCCACGTCTTCGTATAGCCCCCATATAATGGTACCTCCCGATATTCGGTATTTTGACAAAAGTTGCCTATGCAGGTCCACGTCGTCGTATAGACCCTAATATAACGGCTACATTCGGTATTTTTAAGATTTTAACAGATATTCAAAGGTCGACCCGGTTAGAATTTTCCAGAAAAAAGTTATTCGTGATAGAATTTAAACGTGATAGTGTGATTTCTTTATATTTGGCTGGAAAACCACAAGTGGCTATGGTTAGAGCACTCCAGCATTTAAATGTAAATAAATCTTTTGTGTCTCGTATAATCGCCCGTTACCGTGATGCCGGTTGCGTAGCCGAATATTATTGCGAAAATATTCTGGAGGGTGTTTTTTTATTCTGCCTTGGGCATGCAAAGATTTTGGCCGCAGACCTTGGAAATTTTAACAGGACTCAACACCATCGCAGAATGATTACAAAATAAGGTTCCTCGCTTCATTTCCAGCGCATTATGCCCACCAAAATCTCCGGATACCAATCCGTTGGACTATTGTGTCTGGAGTATTTTGGAAAGCAAGGTTGGCACTAAATAATACCAAAGTATCGATCACTTTAAGCAAGCGCTTCGCCAGGAATGGGCCAAAATACCGCAGAGCAAAATTCGGGCAGCGTGTGATGGATACATTGCCCGTTTGAAGACCAAAATTCGTGCCAAAGTTGACCAATTCGAACAAATCTAAATTTATTCTAAAATTTGATTTTATTTCCGACATTATTTAATTTCATTCAATAAAATTAAAAAAAAATGTAGTAATGATGGCGTTTGACTCTGTTGCAGTTTTTTTTCTCACCCTGTATTTTATAAGCCTTCCTCATTTATGTCTTATAACTACATAAGACCTATAATCCCATAATCGTTCCTTTAAGAAAATGTATTGGTCCACTACGGTTCTTCCAGGAGTCTTTCCGAAGATAGGGAGGTTCTTATATCCATTATTCCAAATTCGTTATTAATAACAAAAACTATTTTAGTGTCTTAGCGCACAATAGCTGAGGCAATAAATAACCTCAAGATATATAAATATTTTGAAAAAAAAAAACAACAACAAAAGTATTCATTAAAGAACTTTTATTAAGAGTCGCCTTATGACCCGGCCACCCTCCGCCCACAGTTGGTACAAATAATCACAAAAAGAATAACCCTGACAGGCTGGCAGTCATGTTCATTGTTCTATTTAGATAAAACCAGGTTAAAAGGGTGATAATGTAGAGTTTTTAAAACTGGCAAACTAAGGACGTTAGGACAAAAGAAAATATTACAACAGCAGCAATTGAAAGAAAGAAAGCCCAACAGGAAAAACAACAATGAAGAAGCACCTGTCAACACTTGAGTGGAAAACCCCTTGAAAAGGAAGAATGTAGCAACAACAGCAGCAACAATATCAACGACTAGAGCAATTTAGGTAGGTATTTTATAGGCCGCCTTATCCACCCCTCTCTCACACTCTCTCTCTCGCTCACTCTATTCAGCCAACACTGTCAAATGCACCTGTTTAACAACAATACCAGAACAAAAAAAAAAAAAACATCAAAATCACAACAATACTTTTTCGAAATGCATTGCACCAGCGAGAGAGCTTACATTGAATTGAATGTCAGACAAATATGCCATAGAATCACACACATACCCCAGCCATCGTCTCGCCTCTCTTGATGGGTCTTCTAGTTGGAAAATATAAAAGACCTTAATAGTCGAAGAAATTTCCCCCCATATTTTCTTAATACAAATGGCAATGTAAGCTCCTCATACAATAACAGTATTAAGGTGTTTGCCTGTTATTCTTTTGATGTATTGTGTGAGAGAGAGAGAGGGGTGTTGAAATCAAAGCTAGCTGCAATGAGCACGAGACCACTACACTCACAAAAAATTGAGTGACTGACACTTATTTTACCATACAGATATATTCGTCCTGATTGCAATAGATTTTAAAACATAATTCCGGAAGGATCTTATTGAAGCATCCGGTAACAATATTCGACTGCACAACAAGTGCGGGTTATTTAGGAGAGGCTATATATACGTAAATCTTGATATAGTATTTTATAGTCTGCTACTCCCTACATAAAAAACTCTCCGGCAATTCACGACCACATGCATATGATAGCATGTAGAAAGAGGAGCAAGAGGAGAATTGACCAAGTGAATGCATTGCTGCTTCTGCTTGTCTCCGCTCACAATTGCATTGTCGCTCTTCATTTTATGGCTCTTCGTCGTATCTAGGTCAACAGCAAATCTATTGTGTTTACCCTTCATGTCCTGTCCAATGGATAGGGAGAGGGGGGCAATTGTTACTTGAATGTTTTTCTATGTCAGTCACAACGTTATGTATAATGTGAGTGAGAACAAACAGGTAGCCCTTTTTCATGTCACGGCACTTTTGAATTTGTGTTTTTTTATTTTTTTCGTCTCTTTAAGTCGGATGTTATTTGTTCGTCTGTTTGACATTTGGCAAAAAAATAAAGCAGCATCACCAAAATGGGGCAAAAGGGTGAAAAAACTTAATGAAGGTAATATGAATTTATAATTGATAAGAGTTACAGAGCATTTTTTGCACAAGTAATTATAGCGAGGAGCTGATACATTTTTATAAGAGGAAAGATTTTAGGAACTTTTATTGGGCGACATTTTGAGAATTTAGGAACTTTTATTGGGCGACAGTAGATTGGACCTACACTGGTGGCCAAAACTAAAGCAACTTAAATCGCAAATACAATAAATGTCCTGTAACTTTTACAAAAATAAACAAATCGTAATTATTTTTCCAGTTTTAAATGAGGGGTTTAATTCACTTTCAAGAAACTAAAAATAAAAATACAAAAATAAGTTTGAACGAAAAATAATATGTGGAAAACTAAAATGACCCAATTTTTGCTTGGTCAAAACTAAAGCAACTTTTGATTTTTTATTTTAAAATAATTAAATTTTGGCTAGTAGTCGATAGCATAACCATTATTTTTGATAGCAGCTGCACACCTATGAGGCATTGAATCTATAACACGCTCAATTTGATCCTTGGGTGTGCTTTCCCAGGCACCCCGAATTCTTTAGAAAATGTTGTGCTTATTTATTTCCGAATCTCTCTTGATCTTCCTATCTACGATACTCCAAAGGCTTTCTAAGGAGTTTAGGTCAGGTGATTGTGCCGGTCATAACAAAACATGAATTTTTGACTCCCGCAACCAATATTTGACAAGTTTTGATACAAGTTTGGGATCATTGTCATGCTGAAACACACAAATCAGCCCAATATTTTACTCAGCGTAAGGGAACAACGTGATGTCCAACACATCTTTGTAAACAAACGGATCCACAATTTCCTTTATTTTATGGATAGACACAAGTCCATAGAAAGAAAAATAGCGCCACGCCATTTTTGACCCTCCCCCATACTTCACTGTACCTTTGCAACACTGCGGCTTGAGTCCATCATTTTTTGGTCTGCTCACCGTAAAATTGTTCACGTCTGAGCCTTTAATATTAAACGTAGACTCATCCCAAAAATAATGTTTTTCCATTGAGGTGGATTCCACTTAATATTATCGTTTTCGAAAGCCTTTTTGATTTTTTCAGATATAAATGGTTTTTTGATGTCTTACGGGC